CCGGGGGAGCCCAGGGGAGCCCGGATGAGCGGCCCCGGCCCTGCCCGGCACCGCTCGGGCTGTGGGACAGCGGTGCCGTGCTGGTTCCGAACGGAGCCTCCCGCACCCCCCGCTCCCTTCTGGGCGTGCGGGCTCGGCCTTGGCCTCGCTGCCGCCCCAAATCCGCGTCCGAGCCGCCTGTTCCCCGGGGGAATGGGGCCAGGGCCTGGGCCTGGCTGCGGCCCAGCCCCGCTGCCCCTGGCCGCTCCTGCCTGAGGCTCGGGCAGCTCCCCCCGCATCCAGGGCATGCTCAGCCTCGTGCTCGCTGTCCCCGGAGCGGGGCACGGTCCCAGCAATGCTGAGCCCTCCCCTCTGCCCTCGGCAGGAGTGATCGGCCTGCAGCTCATCAATGGCAAGAACGAGTCAGCCCACATCAGTGACGCTGTGGCCGTGGTGGCCCAGGCCGTGCATGACCTGTTTGAGAAGGAGAATATCACAGACCCACCGCGGGGCTGCGTGGGCAACACCAACATCTGGAAAACAGGACCCCTTTTTAAGAGGTACTGGGGAAAGGGTCCTGCTGGAGGGAGCAGAGGACCTGGTGGGGGAGAGCTGGAAAAGGTGGGAGCATGTGGAGAAGCGCAGGAGGACATTGTTCAGGGCATCTGTCACTAAAGCTTTGGGGCATGTGGCACAGGGCTGCCTGGACTCTCCTGCATGGTTTGGATGTGAGGGCTACGTCTCTCCTAGAAAACTCTCCCAGACACAGGCTCAGGCAATGGCACCCAGCTTTTCCAGGCTCTTTAGGCATCATCCTGGTGCCTGGCACCAATTCAGTCCATGTCAACCCATGCTACCCTGGGCAATGCTTAGACAGCTGGGATGTGTGGGCAGGTAAGGAGGAAAAGATTCCCTCTAGGAGGAAAAGACTGGGGACCATGGTCTCCTCCAATCTGGAGCTTAATTCCATGGGTGAAAGTGGGAGAGAGGGTGACTTCTGCCAAATCAAGGTAGGGGGATATTTCTGTCCCATTTTATCTTGGTTTCCTGCTGAACATTCCAAGGGCTGTGGCATGGATCCAGCGCTGCAAGCAGGGCTTGGTGGCAAGGGATGTTCATGCATGGGACATGCTGTGGATTTGGGACATGCTGTGGATTTGGGACATGCTGTGGATTTGGAGCTGGGGTGTCACGGACAGGAGCATGTGCCTGAGGGGTTCTGCTGCCAGGGCAGGGTGATGGCAGGTCCTGCATGCGCTTCCAGACCCCAATTCCTGCAGCACTGCAGGTGCTGGGGCCACAGGGGCTGGGCCTTGGTGCAGCACTCCCTGCAGATCTGCGTTCTGTTGAGCATGAGAGCTGCAAAGCCTGCAGATTGTTTCAGAGGCATTGCTGGCATCCCCTGCAGTGACAGTCTTTGGCATGAGCGAGTCAAGGCTGTTCTTCACAAGTGGCTCAGGCAATCCTATCACCTTTCCAGGGTCTGGGGGCTGTTTCTGTCCTTGGTGGTGTTTGTGTGTGCCTGGGCCACTAGCCAGGCTGGGATGGGCAGGTGCCAGGCACAGCACCGAAGCTGTAGCATGGGCATATCTCGCAGGGAACCCCCAGAGGAAAGTGTCCTCTCCTCCGATCATTCCAGAGAGGAGTGGGACTGATCTGGGGGAGAACAAGGGGCAATGGCAGCAGATGTGACAGAGGACATTTGGGAAACTGATTCCATGCCCCAGGAAGGGATGGCCACAGACCAGCCTTGGCTGGACTTGTACAGGGTAGTGAGCTTATGGCAGGTAATTGAGAGGAGGCATTTGCCTTCCTGATGCCTGGTGAGGCGTCTCAATGGCCCAGCAGCTGTTCCAGGTTGTCCCAGTTGTGTTTCTCTCCACAGGGTGTTGATGTCCTCCAAGTACTCAGAGGGTGTCACCGGCCGGGTGGAGTTCAACGAGGACGGGGACAGGAAGTTTGCCAACTACAGCATCATGAACCTGCAGAATCGGAAACTGGTCCAGGTTGGGATTTACAACGGCAGCAATGTACGTGCAGGCCTGGACTGGGGAAACAGGGCTGGGGCACTGGGGTGTCCACCTTGGCCTCATGTCCATCTGCTTCCTTTGGGATCCATCAGGTCCTGACCAACGACAGGAAGATCATCTGGCCAGGGGGGGAAACGGAGAAACCTCAAGGCTATCAGATGTCAACCAAGTTGAAGGTAAGAGCAAATGGCATTAGGGGCAGGGCTTCTCACTCTCTGCATGCCAGGCAGTGACTTCATCTCCCTCCCACCTCTACGGCTGCTCTGCAGCTGGCAGCAGCAGTTGCAGGGCCAGGAGAGGATATGGGAGAGAAACAGAGAAGGTACAGCAGGGTGTTCAGAGCACAGCTCTCAGCTGGAGTCAATCTAGATAGGGTGGCAGGCATCCTTGGCTTTGGAAAGAGACAGGTGGGAAGTGGAAATGAGCACGGAAAGACTGGAGGGACAAGGTGTTGACCATTTCTCATGGGAGCCAGAGGACACCTGTCACAGCTTTGAGAGAAACACAAGGATGGGCTCTGTTGGTCAAGGCATGGTTCAGCTCTGCTGCACAGTGCAGAGGCCAGGTGGAAACATATTCAAAAGATTAAACCCTCTTGTGGAGGGTGGATAGACTGGTGGCTGCGAGGCTGAACTCAGGAGGTCCCTGGGGAGCTGATGGCCAGAAGCTGGAGGCATCAGATCCCTCCAGTCTTGCTTTGCTTCTCATGCTGTTCTTTTAAGTGTTGCTCAGCAGCCCCTTCAGTGGCTGGATCCCACTTCAGTGGCTGGATCCCACTTCAGTGACTGGACCCTGACCAGGCTGATTTTACCACTATGGCCATTCATTTGTCCTACTGTTCATTTGTCCAGCAGGTGAAATCCCATTGCCACTGGCAGTGAGCCCTTGTTCCCACGAGGTGCTATGGGTATGTTGTGATTGCTGTTTTGCTGAAAGGTCCAGGGCAGGACTGGAACACCTGCATTCACTTGGGGCAGTGTGACAGGATCTAGAGCCCCTTTCCAGGCTCTAGGCCTGGCTGTGTGGTGTCTCCCATCAGTCTCCTGGTAGGGAAAGAGATCTTGAGGCTCAGCTGAAAGTGCCACATGAAGGAGGACACTCCTCACCTTGGGTGCAAGGAAAGGAAATGTTCTTGGTGTTCTTCTTGGCAATGCTGTGTTAACAGTTGGATTCCATGATCTTAAAGGTATTTTCCAGCCTAGAGGATTCTCTGATTCCCTGTGCCAAAGCCAGGTGCTGCTGCTGGGCTGAGATGACAGCTGGGGAGGGCACCACAGCTCCTGTGGAGAGAGCAGCCCAGCTCCCAGCATGGGAATGGAGCTCTGGAGGGAAACACAGACCAGAGGGTGTTTGTGCTTCACCTCACAGATTGTGACCATCCACCAAGAGCCTTTTGTGTATGTGAAGCCCACTCAGGCAGATGGGACGTGCAGGGAGGAATTCACCATCAATGGAGATCCTGTCAAAAAGGTCTTCTGCACTGGACCCAATGAGACCATCCCAGGTAACTCGGTCTGGTGGGGACTTCCATTCCAAGAAGAGGTCCCAGGGAGGGTTCTCAGTCACACAGGAGGCCCAGAGTGGTGACAGCACAGCTGGCCCCCAGCAGCCCCCCGTCAGCTCAGTGCTCTGCGCAAGTTGGGCCCTGGCATCCAGGGGCTTGAGCCTTTCCCACTGTCTCTCTTCTGGATGGGCTTTTCCAGGGCTGCTTTGAGGGATTGCATCCCAAGTTTGTGTCCTGACATGTTCCAATTCTCTCTGCCTTGATGTCCAGCAGCACATGGGACATGGGAAATGGCAAAGGAACGGGACCCCTTTGTCCCCAGCCTGCCAACACCCACGGGTGACAGAGGATGGTCAGGCAGATGGCCCTGAAGGATAACATGGTTACATCCCACATGGAGGCTGCTCTCCCTGGGGACAGGCACGGAGCCTGTGTGTGCTCCCTGGCCAAGGGCTGCCCCACTCATCCCCGTCCTGTCCCTCCCCAGGCCGTCCCACCGTGGCACTGTGCTGCTACGGCTTCTGCATCGACCTGCTCATCCGCCTGGCAGGGGTGATGAACTTCACCTATGAGGTTCACCTGGTGGCTGATGGTAAATTTGGTACCCAAGAGCGGGTGAGTTTGGGCAGCCTGCGATCTCTCTTTGCCTGTATCGTGTGTTGATACCCCCACGCCCTTCTCCTGAGCAGGGTGGGGTGGAAGGGCAGAGCAGGATCCCTAAAACGTGCAGGGTCCTGGCTGGTGGGGGATGTGTGTCGGGGCAGGAGTCTGACCCAGCCTCGCTTTCCTGGCAGGTGAACAACAGCAACAAGAAGGAGTGGAACGGGATGATGGGGGAGCTGCTGAGCGGCCAAGCAGACATGATCGTGGCTCCCCTCACCATCAACAACGAGCGGGCTCAGTACATCGAGTTCTCCAAGCCCTTCAAGTACCAGGGCCTCACCATCCTCGTGAAGAAGGTATGGTGTGGCTGGGATGTTTTGTAGAACACGGGAGGTGCTCATTCCCAGATTGCACCGTGCCCAGTGCAGCCCCTGCAGATTCCAGGCTGCAGGCTCCTGTCTGCACCAGCCTGGCCCTTCCTGAGCAGCAGGAGCTTGGGGCAGGGCAGGGCCCCTGTGGATCCCTCCAGGCGGGCAGGGTGCAGGCCTAGGGGGTGCCAGCACTGTTCCCCTCTCTCCTGTGTGCAGGAAATCCCCCGCAGCACCCTGGACTCGTTCATGCAGCCCTTCCAGAGCACACTCTGGCTGCTGGTGGGGCTGTCTGTGCACGTGGTGGCAGTGATGCTGTACCTGTTAGACCGATTCAGGTGAGTGCACTTTGGGCCACTCGAGATCTGGAGGGGACAGGGAGGTGCTCCTGGGAACTGGGTCCCTTGCTTGGGCACAGTCTTGCAGCCTTTTGGGGGCTCTCACAGGGACTTGACCCACCTGCTCTGCCCCATAGCCCTGGGCTGAGGCTCCTGGCCCCTCTGGCTGCCAAAGCTAAGGGATCTGGATATGTGGGGATGTGGGAACACACCTGTCAGACCAGGTGCTGTGCAGATACCTGACAAAGGGGACTGTCAGCTTCTGAGAGGATTTCCTCTCGGCCTTCCTTGGCCCTGTGGCAGCTCCTCTGAGGGCAAGAGAACCTGTCCCTGCCTCAGCCCTGTGCCCAGAGGCTTTGATGGCTGATCTGCAGGGAGCCCTCTGTGATCAGCTTGAGCTGACCAGGGTCAGATAATCTTTCTGCTCTGGGGAGAGTGTGATGGAAGTGTAGCAGCGTGAGGCAGACAGGGCTGCAGGTCAGCACGGGGATGTGCCAGGGACTGGGACAGAACAGGGAAGAGCTGCTTGGGACAAGGTCTGTAGGAATGAGTGACACAGGGCTGCACCAGGACACCCGGGGCACACTGGGGAGCCCTGGGAATCAGGGTGAGGGGAATGAGAAGGGTTCTTCATCTCGTTTTCCAGCCCATTTGGCCGGTTCAAAGTAAACAGTGAGGAGGAGGAGGAAGATGCCCTGACTCTCTCCTCAGCCATGTGGTTCTCCTGGGGAGTCCTGCTGAACTCTGGCATTGGAGAAGGTAAGTCACAGCTCCCAGGGGGACTGCTCTGCCCTGCAGCCCAGCCTCTGAGCTTGCCAAGCCAAGCCCTTGTGGAGCCGCTCTGATCTCTCCTCTCCCCCTGCAGGTGCTCCCCGGAGTTTCTCTGCCCGTATCCTTGGCATGGTGTGGGCTGGCTTTGCTATGATCATTGTGGCTTCATACACTGCCAACCTGGCAGCCTTCCTGGTGTTAGACCGACCTGAGGAGAGGATCACAGGCATTAACGACCCCCGGGTAATGACCCCTGCTTGCTTTCCCCTTCCCTGGGGTATATAACACGGCTTGTGGTCCCAGAGCCCTGATCACCACGGCTGTGATCTGTGCTGGGGCAGGGGGGGCAGACCCAGGGAGCTCTGCCTGGGCTGGTGTGATGAGTGTGAGTCCCTGCTCTGGGTGGGAATGGACACACTTAGCAGGGATCAGCAGGAAAACAGCCTGTCCACAAATAGCCTGTCTGCAGTCAAACTGCCTGCCTGTTCCTGGAGAGCCTCCTCTAACCAACGAGGAAACTATTCATTATGGATGAGTTATAACTAATGAAATTGTCCCTGCGGTGCAGTCAATACTCCCCACATGCCTCAAATCCATTTCCTGCTCTGGCAAGGACATAGCCACAGCTCATCAGCCCAGGAATGCAGGAACATGCCCTGCAGCAGCACTGACCCACAGCATCCCATGGCACTGCCAGTCCCACGGCAGCCACAGGCCTCCTGCAGCCTCAGTGCCACCGTGCCCCTGCCCCAGAGCATCCCCTGACCCAGCACCACGCTCCCAGGGCATTCACTGCCCCACAGCATCCTCGGAGGAGATCAAGGTCCTCTCTAGGGAACAGGTCCCTGGAGGAGACAGGGAGTTAGGAAACAGCTTTGGGGTGAGAAAGTTTTGCTGGTGAAGGGCAGCAAAAATAGGAGCCCTGCCCTTGCCTTTCAGCTGCGCAACCCCTCGGATAAATTCATCTACGCCACGGTGAAGCAGAGCTCCGTGGACATCTACTTCCGACGGCAGGTGGAGCTGAGCACCATGTACAGGCACATGGAGAAGCACAACTACGAGAGCGCTGCCGAGGCCATCCAGGCAGTGAGGGACAAGTGAGTAGGGCCAGCACCGTGCCTGGGAAGGGCTCCAGGGAGCTGCAGTGGCTGGAGAAAGCAGGGCTAAGCTGGAGGGAGCTGCAGCTAAAGCACGGCTTAGTGGGACCGCTCAGCTGGGGCTGGGGAGGATCTGCCCGCTCCTGGTGCATCCCAGGTCTCTGGGTGGGAGCACAAGGTCTGCAGGGGGGATGGCACAGTGAGACCCCGGGCCATGGCCCCTCTTTCTGGCCCCTTTTCTTCTCTCAGAGCAAGGCTGGGTGGCTTCAGTGTTTAAACCAGAGCTGGGAGAGCCCTCGCTGCTCCCACGGAGGTGCAGACGAGCTGGGCTGCCCAGCCTGACCCTTCCATCCTCCCTCTGTGTCCAGCAAGCTCCACGCCTTCATCTGGGACTCGGCAGTGCTGGAGTTTGAGGCCTCCCAGAAGTGTGACCTGGTGACGACGGGGGAGCTCTTCTTCCGCTCCGGCTTCGGGATCGGGATGCGCAAGGACAGCCCCTGGAAGCAGAACGTCTCCCTGGCCATCCTCAAGTCCGTACTCTCCTCTTGGCACGGGGCTTGCCCCAATGCTGCATGTGTTGGCACACGAGTAGCCTCGTGCCAGGCACTGCCAGCCACCCTCCAGACCTCTGCAGGGACAGGGACACTGGGGCTGCCCATCCATCCTGACAGAGGGGCACTGAGTGACCAGGGTGGGCACCAGCTCTGGCTCACAGGGCTGGCAAGCAGCAGGCAGCTGGAGGGAGGGCAGAGCAGGGCAGGGGGCAGAGTCGTGGTCTAGGCAAAGCTGGCAGAGAGCAGCAGGGGCCATCCAGCACAGATGAGCAGGGTGTGGGTGCTGCCATCTCCCCCCTTCTCCCTCAGGGCTCAGCCTATCCAACAAGCATTGCACTGCCCTGGCTTGGTCACCCAGGGCTTTTTTTCTTTCAACTCTGGCTGCTCCTGTTACACAGGGGTATGTCAGGACCCCCTCTGAGTCCCAAGCTTTTACAGCAGCACACTGCAGTGTGGGGTGTCACAAGTCAGACTGATGTTATGGGTGAAAAGGGATTTCCTTGTATTACTTTGGAAATGCCTCACTTATTGCAGACAGAGAAATGTCACAGTGGAGGAACAGGCAGCTGGGAAGCAGCGAGTGAAGGGAGGGAGCCCTGGGAGATTCCTTTTAGAAGAGACATGGTCAGGAACCACCAGGGTCCTGCCCAAGATGCGGAGGTGAAAGGGCTGAGAGAGAGTGGGCAGGATGTGGAAGGTGGGCAAGACCCAGGGTGATGTAGGGAGCCATGGACCCCGTCTGTGGGATGGTCTGAACACAGGACAGATGGGATTAAGGACAGCCACATGAGAAGCCTGAAAAGGCCTTGGTGTCTTCCTTGGAGAAGATGGAGAAGCCCAGGGCTACAGGTGGCCCAGGAAGGTGCTGGGGGTATACCAGGAACAAGAGGGAAGATGCTGGGGTGTTCCAACCCTCAGTGTGCAGTGCAGGGAGCTGCCAGGCAGCAGTGCCCTGACCTAGAGGGTGCTGGGGGTCACCAGAAAGGACTGGGCTCCATCATTGCCTGGGCTCCAAGTGGCCCTGGCAGGTGGAGGAGCCATGCAGGAGGGAAGTGGGAGGTGTGGTTCATGTCCACTCCCTGCAGCCTTCTCCAGGAGCTCCCGGAGCACTGCCAGCTCCATCCTTCCTTGGGAACACACCTTCCCATGGCTTACACGTGGCTCTTTTGGCAGCAGGATCTGCCCCAGAGCAGCACACACAGCAGGCACTGCCCCAGAGCAGCACGTTCCTGTGCTGGTAGGCTGCAGGCAAGCACAGAGTGCCAGGATGGAGGGCACAGAGGCACAGAGTGTGCCCCAGCTGCCTTTGTCCCCAGTGACTACCCTGTCCTGTCTCCTTGTGCTTCCAGGTCCCACGAGAACGGCTTCATGGAGGATTTGGACAAGACTTGGGTGAGGTATCAAGAGTGTGATTCCCGTAGCAATGCCCCAGCAACACTCACCTTTGAAAATATGGCAGGTTTGTTCTGCAAACCTCTTTCTCTCCCTTGGCTGGGTAGCCTGCTTTTACTCAAGGCATTCTCCTCTCCAGGGCTTTCCTCTCAGGCCAAATTCCTGCTGCTTCTGGGTTTGTGCTTTCCTAGTGCTGGGAGGCTGCTGAGGTGGGCTCCATTCCCACCTTGTTTAGAGCAGTTCCTCAAAGCTTCCCCCACCTTCCCTGGGTTCCCTTCTTGCCAGTGGGGCTGCTGTGCTGTGAGCAAGGCTCCCCTCCTCTGGCCAGACTGCGGCTGGCAGTGCAATCAGAGCTGGCACCAGTGCAGAGAGGACAGCAGCACCTCGAGGGAGAGCCCTGCTGCAGGAGGGGCACTCCCCAGTCCTGAGGAGCCCTGGGAAGGGCCAGGACAAGGATAATTGACACAGAGGGGTTTTCCTCTTGCAAAGACTGTGAGAAGCCCAAGACTTTGCACTGAGGTGGTGCTGCTGGTCCTACAGCCAGACAATGCAGTGGTGAGGGATGAGGCTGGCACTGCTGTCTGGGTTACAGGCAATGGAGAAAGGGGCATTTTGCTCCATCTCCTCAGACACCATTTCAGAAATGTCATCCCCAAGGGTTGCAGCATCCAGGGACAGCACAGAGCTCTGTGCATGGCTGTGCTTCCTGGCGAGCCAAACTGGAGCACCAGGGTTGGGTTCTGGTGCAAACAGCCCCACAGTCCTGGGGATGGTGGCTCTGCCCTAGGGCTGGCCGTGTCTGTCCGCCAGCATGGCTGCAGCTCAGTGCCCCCAGAGCTGGCACTGACATCCCTCAGGTGCCCAGGCTGTGTTCCCCTCCCAGTCCTCCAGGACTGCGGGGAGATGGTGGGGGGTCCCCGGGTTGGCAGATGCTCCCGTCGCTGAGCATGATGCAGAGGAAATGAGGGGTCATGTTGCAATTTCCACTGCCCCCTGTAACTTTCCTGCTTATTTCAGGTGTGTTTATGCTGGTGGCTGGAGGTATTGTTGCCGGGATATTTTTAATATTCATAGAGATAGCTTACAAAAGGCATAAGGACGCGCGGAGGAAGCAGATGCAGCTGGCGTTCGCGGCCGTTAATGTGTGGAGGAAAAACCTGCAGGTAGGACAAACCGTTTTTAGAGCAAATCTCCACCAGGTGCGTTTTCCATTCCTTCACCAAATCAGTGAATGCAGAGCTGTGGATTAGCATGGGGCCCTCTGTCCCCCACCCCCAGTAGCTCCAGCTGGGCATTACTGGTGTTAAGCTGTAGGGTGGTGTCCCCGCCTTTTCCCCGGGAGCTGCCCCTGCCCGACGCTCCCAGCAAAGCTCCAGCAGGGCAGAGGCCTGGCCCAGAACAGCCCCAGTGGAGCTCGGGATGGGGGCTTTGCTCTAGTGGGGGCCACGTGCCAGAGCCACACCTTGCCCTGGCTGGGCAGGCAGTGCCAGCACAGCTCCTTGGCAGGTTCTGCCCTGCTGCCCGGCTCTGGCCGTGCTCACCAGCAGATGGGAGAGTCAGCCTGCTGCCACTGCCCATCCCTGCCCGGTGCTCAGGTGGAGGAATGCTCCAGGGATAGCTTCCATTTCCTCCCCTCCCCTGCCTGCTCCACAGCAGCACGGTAGCCCTTGCCAGGACCGACTCCAAAATGAGGTGGTGCGTGCTCTTGTCCTTTGGAGACAAGGACATTCCCCCCACGCAGGAGCCAGCAGTGCCAGTCCCTGTCAGTGCCGTGGCTCCATTGGGCTCCTCTCGTGGGGTGTTGCTCTCCCAGGCTTCTCCTGCTCCTGGAACATCTCTGTGCCGCTCGGGCAGGGAAGCGCAGGAGGGTCAGAGGTGCTTGGCAGTGACATTGAGCCATGGGCACATCTGTGGGCCACCAGCCTCACACTTTCCTTCCCTGCTGCTTTTGGGGCCGAGCCCCACGGTGCCCCTGACCCCAGTGTAGGGCAGCTGGAGGCTCTGTCTGGTTTTTCCCTCGGGGAAGCACAGCGGCGTTCAAAGAGCAAGAGCTCCTTTAGGTGACTAAAGGACACTGCTGCTGGGAGCAGAGCCAGTGGAGCAAAGAGAGAGGAGGAGGCTCGGGGACCTCGGGGAGCCCGGCCGGGGCCCCAGGGAGCAGCGCTGGCCGGGGCTGCGGGGGGGCTGCCTGGGTGGCCCGAGAGCAGCGAGGGGAGCACGAGGCCGGGCTGCTGTATCCTGAGAGCTCGCTGGGTTCAGTTCACCGGAAAGAGTCTCGGAAAAGCCATTTCTCAATTTTTTTTCTCCTTTTTTTTCCTTTTTTTTCCTTTGCTTCCAAAAAGCAGCAGCACCGAGGGGGTTAAGGCTGCTGGGACAGAGCACACTAGTCGCACTGCCATTTTTCACTTGCCAACCTTCTAGAAAATACTGCACTGGGTCCTTGGGCAGAGTCTGTGGGACTGTGAGCAAAGCATGCTGCCCTGTGGGGGTAAACAGCCTCATGGTAAAGAGCCGTTTGACATTGTAAGACTTTTCCACAGGAGGAAACGTCAGAGCACTAGTATCTGGTACATTGCTAGAAGGTAGGCAAGTGGAAAGATTTATTTGTTAAAACGAACAAACAAAAATAATGGTTTTTGGGATCACAGTTTTGCCATGGCTATTTCCTGAGATGCCATGGAAGAAAAAGACATTTCATTCCATTCATCTTGCTTTCCTTTCCGTTTGTGCATGTCCGCAAAAGAGAGAACTGAGAAGGAGGAGCAAATGTATCCCCGAGCATGCTCTACGCACCAGCGGGATACATTTTGGTTACCCCCGTGCGGTAGCAGAGCCAGACCTGGTCACTCCGTCCCCCGTCGGAAAGGTCACACTCATTGGCACCAAAGCAATTGGGGAGGACTCGTTGCCAGCGCCCGGCGCCGAGCGCGGCCGGGCCCCCCGGCCCGCGGCCCCCGCACCATGGCGGCTGGTGCTCCCAGCCTGCGCCAACCAGGTCCGACTCGCTAACTCCAACGCCTACATCTTTCAGTTCTGTTTCTCTTTGAGTTCATCCCGACCCGACGACATCATGGCACTAACGCTTTGCTTCCTCCCTTTCTTTTCCTTTGTATTTTTAATTTCAATTTTCTTTTTCTTCCAGTTTCCTTTTTGTTTTTTAGCCTGTTTTACTTTGGAAAACAAACCAAACCACCACCAACAACCACGTTCGGCTTTGCACAACTGCATCATTTGAATTTTTGAACACATTTTTTTTTTTACAGAATATTCATACAATGACTTCTCTTTCAATGCAGTCCTCTCTCTCTCTTGTGGCGCTAGGATTCAGCCTCAGAAAAGGCCCTGAGCACTTTTTTTTTTAGTGATAGGTGCAGCATCTCACGTCTGCGTCCAGCCAGGCTAGCGGTGGAAGCGAGGGGCAGGGCGCCAGGCAGAGCATCCCCAGGAAGCGAGGTCAGCTGTGCCGGCCTGGCTGCAGACACCAGGAGAGCAGGGCTACTTCCCAGAGGGGTTCCCAGCGCTCCAGAGGCGAGGCTGGTCCCCGTAGCCGTAGCAGTGTGGTGGCTGTGCCGTAGCTGTGGGTCACGGAGGCCCTTGGAGGACTGGGAGTGGCAAAACACCTCCAGTAGCTTTCTCACCCAAATGAAGGCCATGACATGGGGCAGTATTCAAATAGATTTAGAGTTTCCAACAACACACTAGAGATCTAATTACTTATACATATTCATTTTAGGATAGAAAAAGTGGTAGAGCAGAACCTGACCCTAAAAAGAAAGCCACTTTTAGGTCCATCACCTCCACCCTGGCCTCCAGCTTCAAGAGACGTAGGTCCTCCAAGGATACGGTAAGAGGAAGAAGAACAATTCTGCCCTCTCTCTTTCTCTCTCTTTCTCTCTTCTGCCATCCCATCGACTGCCACACACCCATCCCGAAGCTGCCAGTGTACATGCATAGCTCATGTTCGTCACCAGTCAGTCAGTCAGTCAGTGAGTCAGTCATCCCGTGTACCTGAAAGGATGCTGGGATCCTGGAGGGCAGGCAGGAGGTGGCTTGGAGTCCTGTGATGAGTTGGGAGATGCAACCGAGTTTTTGTTTTGTTTTTTGTTTTCTTTTTGCCTGGATGATTTCTGATGTTCCTCTCTGTGCTTCGCTCACCTTACCGGTGCTGACCTCTTGAAACTGATGACATTTTTTCCTTTTTCTTTTTTTATTTTTATTTTTCTGTTCCTAAGTGTTCCTGTACCTGTTTGTCATTGTATGCCTAAAAACAATCACCCCGATTTAATTTGGGCACCGTGTCACCTCACCAAGAGCCATGCGTGTCACACTCTCTACATGTGATTTTTGTTTGTGACAATTAGCATTCGGAATAGTCCTCGCACAGGAGTGGCAGCTGTCTCTGGTTATCGTCAGCAGTAATGCAGCTCTAGAAAAGAGATGAAAAGGCTCCAAAGAGGAGGTTGTTAAAGACCCAGCCTTGGTTCAAACTCGTGTTTTCCGCTGCTCTCACATAACCAGAGAAAATTTCCAAATTGCTGCCTCTAAATCCAGCTGTTTCCAAAATGTGCAAACGTGTCTGCTCGTGCTGGAGCTTCAGACACTTCAGCGTCAGGTTGGGCTGTTGGTCTGTCGGACTGAGCCGTGTCCCTCTGCATGTCGCCGTCTGTTGTATGACACTCTGCACTGTGGCTACTCTGTTGTCTCGTGTGGCAGCGCCCGCTGCGTTCTGCTGCCCGACCTCCTGGCGCGATGGGCTGGCCAAAATCCCCTCCCCGGGGCGACCGGCGGGTTTGTGCCTGGGGTTCCTCACGCCAGGTCCCCACCAGGCTGCCCGAGGCGCAGCGGGGACGGGGGGACGGTGGCAGCGGGGGGAGATGTGGCCCCCGTGGCTGGGTGGCCCGTCCCCAGCCGCAGGCTTGGGCGCCTCGGGGACAGCATGTGGTATGGCAGGGGGTCTCGGGGCCACGGCTGTGTGTGAGGAATGGAGGAGGCTGCCTTTGACACCAGCGCAGGCTCCATACCGAGAAGCTCCTGGAGCACCCCTGGAACGCGGCCCTGGGGACAGCTGAGCCCTCGGCCGGGCTCGACTGCCACCATCTCACACAAAGTGCTCCTCTCACTGTCACCTCGAAGGCTGGAAGTCATGGGGGGAGCAGCCACACTCATCCTCTGTATCCCACGGGGAAGACGGGCATCCCTGTCACCTCCCGTGCTGCTCCTGTGCTCCCTGGGGGGCACCTTGTCCCAGCAATGGCCCCATGCCTGGGCTCCCCTCTCCCCACTGCTCACCCCCTGAGCAGCTCTGCAGGGAGGTCACAGGGCTTTGTGTCCTCGTGGCCTGAGCCATGAGCGGGGCAGAGGAGACAGAGATGGGCTGGGTGGTGCAGGGAGTGGTGCAAGAGTGAGGAGGAGGAGGAGGGACAAGTGGAATGCACAGAAAACAGAGGGGAGAAAAATTGGCAGAAAGATCTTCATGTGCTGAGTGCAGCTCCATGTTCTGTTCTGTTTGAGCCACTCCACAAGTAGGAAACCAAGGGGTCCTGTCCTGGGACAGCAGCATCAGGATGGTGCCCTGAGCACCTGGGGGAAGCAGTGCCACCGGTAAGCAGAGGAGAGGGGGAGAATCCAGGAAAAATGGGGCAGAAATATGGTACCTCCCATATTGCTCCTTCTTGATCCTGCTCCATGGTGTGGCATCCATCCTACACCAACCAGCCCACCGCCCTCTCTGCCCCATGCCAGGATCACCCCAAAGCCCTGAGCTGAGCAGGTCCAGGGCCCACCTGCACCCCAGGTCCCATGGATGGGCAATGGAGCTCTTCTCTCCCCTTCCCACACACACTGGGGTCCAGCACAACACAGGGCTCCCCATGTCTGGGTCCCGGTCACGCTCCTCCTGGCACATTGTCCATGGGCAAATTGTAGAGAGAGATGACCCCACTGATCCCAGAAGATGGTCCATTATTCCCCACTGCTCAGAATCCTGTCACAGTGCTCTGCCTGCTGTGGGGTGCCACGGCCAGGGTCCCAGGACACATTCCCCAGGGAACTGGGCTAGCTGGGTCAAGAACAGGCCAATGGGGTGAGCATCCAAGCCAACGTGGCCAAGCTGGAGGCTAGCAGCTATTGCAGGAGGTCCGTGGTGGAGCGAGCTTTGTGGTGATGTTGGGCAGAGCTGCTGGTTGCTCTGTGGGGTGAGCAGCCAGCAGCAGTGGGGTGCTGCCACCAGCTCATGTCACAGCCTGTGCTTGGTGACCTCCACTTCCGTGCAGCAGCCCCGGCTCAGAGACCCCAACGCCCTCCTGCTGGAAGGCCCCATGAGTCCATAGCATGCTGGGGCACGTTGCCTGGGGTCCTTGTAAAGACGAGAAAGCAGCGAGGTGCTCTGTTTCATGATGCTCAGCAGAGCTGCAGGCCCACACCAGGTCTTAGATGGGCAAGGCTGGAGAGCCCGTGGGGCTGGAAGGCCAGGCCGACCCCAGCCCCACGGGCTCTCCTGGCTAGCGACCGAAAGACGCAGACCTGGTGGCCTTGCTTCTTTCCTTTCCGTTGTCGGGAGTTTTAAAAATGGATTCTGCTCTGCAGCCCTGCAGAATGGTCCCTCAGGAGTGCCAGAGAGACAGGCTGGCACCATGGAGCCAAGACAGCCCTGGGAAGCTTCCACCCCACTCTGAACGTCCTAGCGCCCACCATCACCCGAGCTGCACAGCCTCTCCGCGGCACATCATCCCCACCGCCCCAGGAGGAGATGCATGTGTTCCCCATAGGCAGCTCCTGCAACTCGAGTAGCACTGGCAGAGCTGACGTTGCCATCCATCGCAGCCACCCACGATACTGCAACCCCACAGACGCCATGTGAGACGCATAAACCACACAGACACCTCCGAGCCGGCACATTGCGTACAGACCCGTGTGGAGGTGCCCAGGCCCCTTAGCCCCCGCAGAGCCACCCTGCCAGCCCCAG